CTGTCAGGAAGTGACCAGTAAATGCTGACATTACATCTGTCTCAATATAATATCACCAAAGTCAGTGTTAGTTGCATTTGGAACAACAGTACAAATTATAGGTAGATTTTAAGGATTAGTCACACTCAGAAAACTCCTATAAACGAGAAAAAATGGTTTGTTGTTAGTGTCATTATTTCTTCGCCAATAACCAGGGTCATCAAAACAGTAGACATTTAAAATGCTCAATATTGATAATACTGATTACAGCCTGCCTTTAGCCATCTCACTCTGAATTGAGTCATGTGGTATGACCAGAGTCTGTGTTTTCCTTGTGGTTTTCCAGAAGCAGGTGACATGTAGACATGTTTGAATGGCTAAGGCCACAGTGTTTGGGGTCAGACCAGCCTGTCTTTGAATTCCGGCTCTGCTGCTTACTAGCTGTGCAAACTTGGGGGGAGTTACTAAACTTCTTTGAACTTATTTCATTATCTCCTGCCAAATGATTCGAGTTGTTGTGGGTTAAATGCGATGTAAGTATTGGGCAATTATGACTGATGCATAGTTGGTGCTCAAATATTGGTAACCGGAGTCATTTGGGAAAAAGCAAAAACAAAGTCAGAAATATTCCAGATAACCAAGTGTTTTATGAAGCACACAAGTAACAAAATTGTTTTCTGCAGTGACATCCACTGTGACTCAGGTCCCAAAGCTTTCCAAAAATAGCTTTCCAGAATTGTTATGTGCCAGACATAGTGCTAGGCCATATTGCTGATATATGAGTAAGACACATTCCTGTCCTCCAGAGACTCACAGTATTATGGGGTAAATAGCCAAGTAAATAATTATCACTCACTGTGACTGTGCTGGGACCCAATTCAGCCTTTCCTCCTACCGCCTACTCCTAAGATCCACGTTTAAGCAACAGTCTGGGGCCTTGGAAGGGACAGACTGGACTACTGGCATCTCTGGGTGTCATTTAAATATCTACCTTACTTTGCTCTGTGTATAAAATGAGCTATTGACTTGGTGGCATAGTTTATGAAAAGAAAATAGTCAACCCCAACTGACAGGGTGTCAGAAAGTTGGAGGGGTGCCTGGGTGGCTCAGTCGGTTAAGCGTCCTACTTCAGCTCAGGTCACGATCTCATGGTTCGTGGGTTGGAGCCCCACATCGGGCTCTGTGCCGACAGCTCAGAGCCTGGAGCCTGCTTCGGATTCTGTGTCTCCCTCTCTCTCTCTGCCCCTCCCCTGCTCATGCTCTGTCTCTCTGTCTCTCTCTTTCAAAAATAAATAACATCAAAAAAATTAAAAAGAAAAAGTCGGATATCAGGCCCTCAACGTGGTGGTAACACAGTAAAATCTCAAAACGTATCAGCTGCTTCATCATTGTTATTTCAGCCAACAGCACAGCTATCTGTTTCTTCAAAAAGATACTAGAGGGGTGCCTGGCTGGCTCAGTCAGTTCAAGCCTCATATTGGGCATGGAGCCTACTTAAAAAAAAAAAAAAAAAAAAAAAAAAAAAAAAAAAAAAACGATACTAGGAAAGACCCTTAGAATTTACTATTAAGGAAAGGAAGCAACAACCTGTGTATAGCATGCTATCATTTATGTTAAAAAGAGTGAATGAGGATGAAGATTTGCTCTCTTCACCTTTGCATTTGCCACAAAAACTCCTAACAGTACTTACCTATGTGTGTGTAGAGGAGACTAGTAACTGCTGGAGAGGGGTTAAGAATAGAAGAAAACTTTATAGTGGGCCTATTCTTGAATATATATACTCCTATATACATAACATATGAATATATTCAAAGAGGTTTCTTAATTAAAATATATCCTTTTGTTTTCCCCTAAGTCAGGGGGAAAAGATGGGATAATGAGATGGCCTAGAAGCCGAGGTGGGAAACTAGCTGTGTAAACACCAGTCCTCTAAGGACAGGGCCAAGGAAGAAGAGGCCCAACTCAGTGCCTCAGCAGCAAAAAATTACTCCAGAAAAAAAAAAAAAAAATTGCTACACAGAACTGAGAAGTGGCTATGCTCCAGTGAACACTTCAAAAATCCCAACTGAGGGGCACCTGAGTGGCTCAGTCAGTTAAGCGTCCAACTTCGGCTCAAGTCACCATCTCACAGTTCGCGGGTTCAAGCCCCGCGTCGGGCTCTGTGCCAAGAGCCTGGAGTCTGCTTCGGATTCTGTGTCTCCCTCGCTCTCTGCCCCTCCCCTGCTTGCGCTCTGTCTCTCAAAACTAAATAGGCATTGAAAAAACATTTTTTTAATAATCCCATCTGAGCCCATCTCTGTCGGAAAACCTCACTGAATTCACTGGGTCCCCCCATATTCCCATTAGCCTTAAGAGGAACCCTCAGTTCCTCAGTGCTGTATTCCTGCCTTTCCACACTCTGGCCCCGACACATCTTTCCCATTTTACCTCCCTCTTGTTTCAATTCAAGCCCTTGGCTCTAGCCAACTGGGCTAACCACACCCTAAAAACCTTACTAGAGTCACACTTCTGACCCTCTAGCCACCACAGATGGCCGTGTAGTCTACATGTAGCCCTAAGGCAGCCTGTGGAGGGGAGGGGCAAGAGGGGATCAAATCTAGGCCAAGTTCTGCTAAACAAGCCAGCGTTGAAGTGCATCATGGGTTGGGCAGGGAGGAAGGAGTGCTCTCCAGTGATTGGTCTGCCCAGAAGGAGGTCTTACTGTATACTTGCACAAAAGCAGCCGCTTCATTTGCTTCACTCCATTCTCTGCTTTTAACGACCTCCTTACCATTCCAAACTCTGACTTTGTTCTTCATAAAACCTCCCAAGCCACTACCAGCTCCATTATGATTCCCTCTCCCTTTAAATTCATACAACTGAGTTGTCATCTCATCAGAACACTACAGTTCTGTGTTGTTTGGGGTTGTTTTGGTTGCCATTTAATTTTTATTTTTATGCGAGTATTTTCGAGCCCCAACTAGCTTGTAAGCTCATTGAAGACAGGACAAACATATTTTTTTGATTCCTCCACATTCCCCAGGATGGTGTCATTCTCTCAGCAGGTGATCAGTAAACATTTGTGGAACAAATCATAGATACAAATAACATCTCACGCAAGAGTCAGTCTCAGGGAAGTTTACAGGTACAGCAAGAGGGAGCAGGAAAGAAAAACAGTTTCAGGAATTGGACCTAGCACAAAGGTCTCTTACGGAAGAAATCTTAAGAGTATGAAAGGACCACCAAGACATCCGTACCTTTATTTTTAGCTTCTTTTCTCTACTTCTAGTTACCATGAAAACAGGTTTCCTTTCCTTTCCTTAAGAGCCTAGCAATCGCTGTCAGGGCTAAGGACCAGCCTCATTCATTTTCTTATCCAGCATCTAATAGCATACATTTTTAAAGTTTATGCATTTATCAGAATGGGTAGATAACTGGCTTGGTTATCAGATGGGTTTCTATTTCCCTTTGTCATCTAAAGGACAGATTGCTGCATTATCAACTGATGCCGTAAGTGTCAGAGGAAGATATTTGCCACGTATTATTTTGGGAAATATCTTCTGTGCCTTTTTTTCCAGAGCATTGCAATGGCCAGTTTTTTTCCTATCTGGGCTTTACCTGACCTTAAAAAGTGTCAAGGGCAGATGTAGTCTACTTCCTGTTCTAGAAGATTTCCAATGGTCAGATCACTCATCCTTTCTGTTGCTGCCTGGCATACCACCTCCCCCTTCATGAGGCTGCATCTCTACAGGATCTGCTGATCTTGCAATTGCCCTTCAGGTCATCGATTGCTTATTTAGCAATCACAAGGCCTACAGTTTTGATTTTTTGCCATTTCCAGTTTACATTCCCCTTTTTAAAAGAATCATGCACATTTCAAGTATTTTGATCACGTGTATGGAGAAGGCTTTGAATTTCACAATCCAACCAAAGAGGAGACCAAAACAAAACAAACAAAAACGAACAAAATCCAGTATAAGCTAGATATCTGGTTTCAAATAAATTTTCTACTAAAGACTCCATTTAGGCTATGGATAAAATTCAATCGTATGTATTTTGTGGCATATTCTCAATACCTCATTTTACCATCCCCCCATAACCGCAGCCAGGATGTTATCTCCGGGCTCTTCTTCTCATTAGCTCAGCTATTTTTTCTTCAAAATATGTCTTCTTTACTTGATAGCCTATGTGGAGGAAAGGACAACCTTAAGACCCAAGGTGGACCCCTCTTTGGGAACAGAAACAAGGTAAGAATATGAAGCAGGTTCTGTTGGCTGCATTGGAATGTGACTAGAATGAGTAATAGTTTTTCATTCTGTATAGCATCTTGCTCCACCTACCAAATGGGAGACCGTTCCATCTCTGCCTCAGAGATTACGACACATCCAGAAAAATTAATAAAGCACCTTGCACAGTGGGCCTATATCCACATTCCGCTTTTCACTTTTCATTGGCGTCACAGGCAGGAACGCATCAGACAAAAGACATCCGCTCTGGAATTTATGGGAAAGACCATCTCCAGCTAATGGAAGCAAAAGAAACTTCTATTGTTAAAACGCATAATCCGGCGACCCTGACACATTCACATAAGGAATTATGAAGAAATACTAACCAGCGGGGCCCCCTCCCACTTCGGCCGCAGTGGTGGGCGGGGCTTGGCATTTGGCCACGCCCCTTGCGTCTCTTTCCCGGAGGGGCGCGGCCCACCCCGGCCTCTCGCGCCCGCGCTTGGTGAAGCCAGTTTTGCCCCTCCTTCCCCGCAGGAGCGCGGAGGGACAGTTCTTGCGCTTGCGCCCTGCGTCGCTGGGCGCCTAGACCCGACCGCCGCCCGCCCGGGGGCCTTTTGTGCGCCTGCGCGCTCGCGCTCGCCCTCCCGCCCTCTCGCTGCGCTCGGCTGAGTCAGTCAGTCTGTCGGAGTCTGTCCTCGGAGCAGGAGGAGCGAAGGGACTTCCGAGAGCCAGCTGCCCGATTATTTTCTTTCCCCTCCCTCTCTCCCGCCCCACATCTCTCTTCATCCCTCTCCTGCCCTTGCTCGCGCGGCCATGGCGGAGCCGTCGGCGGCCACTCAGTCTCCGTCCGTCTCGTCGTCGTCCTCCGGGGCCGAGCCTTCGGCGCCCGGCGGCGGGAGCCCTGGAGCCTGCCCCGCCCTGGGGGCGAAGAGCTGCGGCTCCTCCTGTGCGGGTGAGGCGCTCCGGGGAACCCCGCCCTTGGGGGGTGGGGGAGACGTTGGAGTGTCAGGGAAGGCAAAGGACCCTCGCCTACCAGGGGCTTCAGCCCCGGGTTACGAGCGGCTGGAAAATGGGCTAAGGGGGAGGGGAGAGTAAGGTGGTGCAGGCGGTGAGGAAATAACGGGGTGTGAGGCAAACAGGTTGGGGGCGGGGAGATAATCTGGGGAGTGGGCGTTAACGCCGAGGCACAGCAGGTGGGGGAGAAACACCATTTCGGGGGAGCCGTCGGCTGAACCGGGGTGATTTAGTGGAGGATTAGAGAGATTGAGAGGATTGGGGCAGGTTGGTTGCAGGAGAGCGAGCTGGCTAGGGTTTTGAAGAGATGATGGTGCAAAGGTTGCACTGCGGGTTTACAGACAGGTGTTGACATAGTCGGAAATTCGTGGTAGTCTTCCAGAAATATAGAAATATTTTTTTGGTTTCCCGTGGGGGAGGATCAGGACGTTTGATGGAAACATGGTAGCCGTTTTCTGTGCTCTTTTCCTGCGCCTGTAATTTTTGTTGTGGTTAGACTCCCTAAATGCTCGCTTTTCTGAGGCTCCGAGGTGAGAGGAGGCGTGATGAGAATAGCTCCGGGAAGATTTGGGAGGGAGCAGCCGATGGTCCAAGATGGATCCGTGGCTGCATCTGCAACACAGCCCGCTCTTCACTGGCGCGGCGTGGGGGTGGGGACAAGCAATCAATTGCTTATATTCTAGAAGATAATAGAGTCATGCCAAGCCATCAACACATTTTGATTTCATGCTCTCTATGGGCCATTATTGATCGCAGTGTAACAAAGGGGAGTGTTTAGCGCAGAAAGGGGGGAGGGGGAGAAAAATTAGACAAAGCAGGAGCTGGTTGAACCCCTTCTTCTGTCTCTCTGTGAAAGACTAGGAGGCAAGCTGCAGGCCGCTTTTAGTTTCCATTGTATACGCGTTTGCCTGCTGGTGGGAGCTGGCTGGCAAGCTCCCCTCGTGCAGAGATCTGCAGTGCAGATGCCTTCTTGAGGGCAAAAAAAAAATGCACCATGAGCAGGTGGTGGTTCTTAGAGGAACTCAGTCTTTGAAAAAAAGAAAAAAGAAAAAAAAAAAACCTTTTCGTCAAAGGAAGGGGGCCATAACCCGGGGAAAGTACAGACGATTTTGCTCTGCATTTAGTTACCTTAAAGGATTTTGAGCGGGTTTAAAATACTCCGTTGTCTCCATTGCCAGAATCTTGGGTTGATTGTTCTAAAGAACGTGGGATTTCTGATCGTGGCTTTAAATATTCTCTAGATGTTCTGTTTTGTTTAATCTCTACACCCAAAGTGGGGCTCGAACTCACGACCCCAAGATCAAGAGTTGGATGCTCCACCAACTGAGCCAGGCAGGTGCCCCTTTTCTCTAGTTTTTTGAACACTGGATTTCCACATAAGAGCTTTTGGGACCCTGTTGGATTCTCCAGTGTGGTTATGGCCATTTTGATAGAGACAATATCAGAGGAAGCTTCTGCAAGGTCAAGATTAGCTGTCCAGATAAAGGAATGAGGCAGCAAATTTAGAACCCTTGTTCCCTTTAAACGGCCAGCGTTTCTCCTCCAAATTTTTGTGTTCTGGGCAAAGGTCCAGATGAACAACAGCTTCCCTATAACTTAGCAACTTGGTGTTTTGGATTTAATCACTTGTCATTGCTTACTGTTTGGTTGTTGGCCCTTTTGTATAGACCTTTTGATTCTTCGCGATTTTGAATTCTTGATTCACCTGCAAAATAGATAGATACTCTGTCTTACTTAAGTTCTCATTTGTTGTAGATGGGTATTAATATTATCTAAAAAGCATTAATGCAGTTTTGGTGGGCCTCATTGGTCGGGTCACTACTTGAAAAGTTGAGCTTAAGATACTGTAATGTGTGCTTAATCATTCCATTGGAGAAGCTCTTCCCCCTTGTAGAATGTTTTCTCCATATCTCAGAGGAAATGTCCTAGGCTTCTGCACTACGAAAATAAGGTGAAGTTTGTTATTCCACAATTTAACCTATTTAAAATGGACATTTAAAAATCTACCTCGATTGTTTAAAAAGTCTACAAGTGTTGATTGAGGTCAGCCTTCAGCTTTCACATTCTTTTCACCAAGCTCCTCTTGGTTTAAGAGACTTTCAAAATGTGGAAAGGGTGGTCGCTTGGTGTCCTGCAGGAAAAAGTTTTGTCTCAACTGACCTGTCTAGTAACAGCTTTTAGAAATATTAGTTACTACCTAAAGGTAGAGAATGAGTGATGACACTCTCTGGTCTAGGGCCCAGGTGCTAGTGCAACCAGCAGAGTATGCTGGGAGAAGGTGGTCAAGGGCCAGAATTGGCATCCCGATTTTCTGCCTCTGAAGAAAATCAAAGATCTCAAAGGCAGAAGTTTGAGGTCAAGGTAAAAGAGACTTAAATATTTAGTGTTTTTTCAGAAGGGGGATTGCCTTTATTAGACACCAAGTATAGATACCGTGTCTGAAGGTTTACTGTCTTTTTAAAGCGTTTAATAGTGTTTAAAATCCTACAACTTGACAGAGACTGTCCTTTATTATTGCTCTGAATATCATGACGCCAGAATAAAGCTACATTTCTTGTATCTGTTCATGGAAATTAACTCAAAGCAAAAACAGCTTGGACAGTTAAAAAAAAGTTTTTGCTTTAAATCCTTCTTTTCTCACTCGTGAAGCTTAGTTGTCCTGTGTACTTTTTATGGCATCACTTTCACAGTTTATTCTATTATGTCAATCAAATATAAGTATGTAATTTGTATTTTCCATCTTAACCCTTAGGAAGGAATCTACCTGTTTAACACTGACATTAACTGTATTATATTCATGTCACATTATCAGTGGCAGTATGACATGGTGATAAACATGCAGATTTGAGCTCCAAAGGCATATAGATTTCAAGCCTGATTCTGTCTTTTAATGGTTGTATGACCTTGTGCATATCCTGAGCCTCAGCAATATGACCTAGGCAAATTTGCTTTGTGCCCTTAAATCCTCACTTTCACTGAATAAGAGTACCTAATATTTGATACATTTATTTGCAGGTTACAAACTGTTTGCACATAGATAAAAAATGTCAGTTGAATTTCAAGTGAGAAATCATAATCTTCCTCACAATGAAGGAAGATCTTACACCACTTTCCTCTTTATAAAAGTGGGTGTTGCAGCTTTTGACCCTTCACATTAATGTCTTCTAAGCTACCAGCCCTTTCACTCAGCCAGTCTGTTAAAAGGAAGGTGAGGGGCAGCCAAGGTGTTTTGTAGATAGCTTGGCATGACATCAGTATGGTTAAGTATTGGGGCGCCCGGCTGGCTCATTCAGAAGAGCATGTGACTCTTGAGCCCTACGTGAAGTGTAGAGATTACTTAAATAAAGCTTAAAAATATATGCTTAAGTATTTTCTGCAGCATTTGGACCATAAGTGTGTTACAATACACTGTCAGTGAAAGCAAGAAAGAGTACAGGAGACAGCAAGAATGGTCATGTCAGTATGGTTTACATTTGCCTATTGACTTGGATGGTTTTTATTCCCCAGAAATAAAATGTTTCTTTTAATACTGTTTTCTTTTAGAGTCACATTCACAAATAGTTGAACCACTCTAATCTAGTCTCTCATGTGTGACAAGCATACCTTAACCCTAAATTGAAATTTCTAGATGATTGTTTATGAAATTGCTGGTAAGTACATCAGTGTTTTTAAATTTTTATAATTTGAGATGGCCTAAAAACAAAATAAGATGAATACTATTGCTTTTATTGTATTTTGTGGTAAGGAAATTATATACTCATCCTGATCTAAGACTCACTGGTTTATTTTATTTTATTGGGGGGGAGGGGCTCACTTACCTCTTTAATCCTGTATGTGTTTCAAGCACTTGTAAATGAAGTTTAGTAGTGAGGGAGTTGGTGACATGTCATTGAAGTTTAGGGAGAGTTAAGGTTTCCAGTTGTTTTGAGGCTGTTTGTTCTATAGAAAAGCACTTCCCTTTAGCAGTAATCCTAGAACTTAACCGTTTTTGTAATTCCAAGTGGAATTATAAAAGGCTCCAAATAAATGAATAATTACACATATTTGTTGTATGTACTTAATAGTTTATGTTCAGCTTTACTGTTAATGATGAATTTTATAACTGCCTCCAAAACTTTATAGGCTTGTGAAAAATATATTAATTTAATAGTAAAGCTTTTTAGATAAAAATTATCAAGTTGATATTATGTTTATATAATTATCTTATTCAGAAGCTGCCCAGGAAACTGACTTGACTTTACTCAGTTCATTTATTACAGCTGTTAATTCTAGAATTATTTTTGGTCATTGAGTATGCTACAGATGTTTTGAAAAATTGTATATGCCACATAAGTTTAGCTATAATCAGTATTGCTTGTGATTGCGTCATTAAAGTCTTTTACTGCATTCTTGTGACTTATGTAAGACATTTTTACTCTGTGATAGTGCAGTTTCAGAGAGAATCCCTTTAAATACTGTATCAGATTGGTGTTTGTTTTATTAGGAAAGAGTGTGTCAGAAGGTAGCCTTCTCTTATGATTTTCTTTTTTAATTTCGAAGAAACATACTTACCTATTTTCTCCAATCAGCTGTTTTATTTCTCCCTGTAAGCATATCATCATAACCTAACCAGGAGAGGCAGTTGGAGCTTTCTGACATGTTCCTCATTGGCACCTTGCCCTTAAGGATATTGAAGGGTATCCTGGAAAACTGTTTTAGCAAAACTGATACAGATGCCCTTTTGTCCTGTTACCTGAAAGCATTTCAGCAATGCAGTGTCTTTTATATAGGAGATAGAAATATTTGATTTTTATATCTTATCTTTGTGTACTGCTTTGTAGTGTAAGTTGTGCCCGTACATTAACTTAACAAATGTTTGAGCATATAGTAAAGCTCTTTGGGAGATAGGCAGGTAAAACAGATATCTACATCTCTGGAAGCTATATTCAATAAGAGAAA